GTGTAACTGCCACCACCTGAGAGAGAGAGAGAGAGAGAGAGAGAGAGAGAGAGAGAGAGAGAGACAGTGAAAGGCTTGGTGGTCAGCACGACAGATCCAGCAGGGTGGTGTAAGGGGGGACACCTCACGTATACTGAGAGAAAGGTGTGTGTGTGTGTGTGTGTGTGTGTGTGTGTGTTGTGTGTGGTTATTTTGTTACCACCACCACCACCACTACTACAAACAACAACCACCACTACAACAACAACAACAACAACAACAAAAAATAACAACAACAACCACCACCACCACCACTACAACAACAACAACAACCACTACAACAACCACCACCACCACCACCACCACCACCACCACCACCACCACCACAACAACAACAACCACTACAACAACCACCACCACCACCACCACCACCACCACCACCACCACCACAACAACAACAACCACTACAACCACCACCACCACCACCACCACCACCACCACCACCACCACAAACAACAACCACTACAACAACCACCACCACCACCACCACCACCACCACCACCACCAACAACAGCCACTACCACCACCACCACCACCACTACAACAACAACAGCGACTAAAAACCCCATACAAACCATGATAATTGAATACACTAATTGACAATAGACGATAATAGCTTCATTAATAGAGATTGAACGAACAATGATGACGCATCGTTCCATCCCAGTTGACGAAGATTGATGGTCCCAAGAGTTGAGGGTGGAATAGAGCGCGTTGAGAATTGAGATAGAAAGGATAGTGAGATAGAGAAATATGCTTGTAATGTTTTCTCTCAGTTGAGTAAAGAGAAAGAGAAAGGATCTCTCAAGTTGTCAAGTCGTGTTTATTCCTCCCTCCTCTCACCTCCCTCCTCCTCCCCCTCCTCTCACCAAGATGGCTACCAATTGCCTTGCAAGACGTCGCACTGTTGCAGAATATTCGCTCGTGTTGTGCAGTGAATTGGTGGTGTGTCTTGTTGCTTGATCATTGCTTGGGTGGTAGTGGTGGTAGTTGTGGTTGTTTGGTGTAATGTTAAGGGGATTGTTGTTGTAGTAGTAGTAGTAGTAGTAGTAGTAGTAGTAGTAGTAGAGGTTAACACAATGTCAACCAAGGTCAATAATCTTCTAGGAACTCATTGAAGAGGTTCCCTGTTTGTGTGGTCCTCCTGTTTGTGTCTCCTTGTTTACCCTAGTGTTTGTTTAGGTCTGTTTGTGTTTTGTTTATATATCCTAGACTTGTTTGAGTTTGCCCTCTGACGTCACACTGAAGTAACTGGATCATAATGACCCTTATTTCAGGCTTACATAAGGGTGGATTCTCTTTATCTCTTAACCATACGCCCCATTTTGATTCAAACCCCGATTTAATGGGTTCCAATGGGTCTTGTATCCCAATGGGTCCCTGTCTTATTAGATGGGTTAGCCTATTAGACTGGGGTCTGATGGGACTGGGCTCCATAGACTGGGGCCCAACAGACCATTTACCTGTATGGTGTGCTCAGGTGTGTCTACATTAAGGGAGTGGTGGTGCGCATAGAGCACAGGTACGTGGTCGGTGTACATGGGTGTGTACGTTGGTCGGTGTACATGGGTGTGTGTACGTGGGTCGGTGTAACATGGGTGTGTACGTGGGTCGGTGTACATGGGTGTGTGTACGTGGGTCGGTGTACATGGGTGTGTGTACGTGTGTTAGTGTTACAGGAATGTTTACGTGAATTAATACATTGTTTAAATTCACGATCAGGTGACGTGTGTGTGTGTGTGTGTGTGTGTGTGTGTGTGTGTGTTTAATAATAATAATAATAATAATTTACGGTTTATTGAAAATTTCTGCAGCCCGAAGGCTGAAAATTTACATTAGACAAAAATGACTTATTACATACAAAAGACATGGGGTGGGCGGTCGTTTAACAAAAAGTTTTCATTACTGAAAGAAGAAGGAACAATGATTGAACATACAAATTATTATAGTTTACAGTTGATGGCCCGGGCCTGGGCTGGTCATGGAGACACCAGGTGTGAGGTGTTCACGTGGTGTAGTAACTCGTCCTCGGGTGTTGATATGAGGGACCTCACGTAGTCATGGGGACACTTTGTGGTGTGGTGTGGTGTCACAGCACCTCTCTCTCTGCTGGGTGTTGTGTTATCCCGTAGTCAGGTGCATAACTACGGATTAGCACCTCCTGCTGAGAAGATGGTGGCTAGTTCCCAGGGGTGCTTATCTCACTGGTGGGTCGCGGCTTTCACTGGTACTGTCTGGTGCTGAATTCACTGGCTTAAACTCTGTTCAACACTGGTCCCACTTCTTTCCAAGAAATTGTCACTTTTGATTATGTAGATATCCCGGTGGTGAGGATGGGTCGGGGAGAGGGACTTGGTCCGAACATTGACCAAGGGGGACCGCAGGAGCAGTACCTGGCAGGTCCTGACCCTCTGGTGGTCAAGGATGTAGTGTGTGTGTACAAGGATGATCTCTTCGATACACGAGTACGACCTCTACATGAACCCGGACGACTTCTACCTGGTACTCGAGGATGACCACTTAGACACTCCAGTACGACCTGCACCTGTTGCCTCGCCTCAGGGTCGTGGTTTTAGTGGCCAGGTAGACTGGCTGGGGCCTTCCTAATGTTTAGTTAAAGAGCTGTGAGTCCCTCTCTCTCTCTCTCTCTCTCTCTCTCTCTCTCTCTCTGGGTTGGTTTGCTACATCTGGGTATGCTAGACGCTCACACACACACACACACACACACACACACACACACACACACACACACACACACACACTTGCTTCACTGTGTTGGAAAACACAACATAACGGAGAGAGAGAGAGAAGACTGTGTGCGTATATGTATGTATGTAGACAAACATCCATCAGTTCACACAGGTCAAAACACTTACATCCACGTGACGTCATTGTTTACCCCACCACGTTACAATGACGTCATCAACTGGAATGCGTGTGTGTGTGTGTGTGTGTGTGTGTGTGTGTGTGCATTACTCCACACCTCTGCTACCTGTGGTCTTGGAGGTCGTGTTTGTTTTGTTTTTCTTTTGTTTGTTGTGTCCAGGGACCAAGTAGGACTGGGGCCTATTAGAACTGAGCCTATTAGAACTGGGGCCTATTAGAACTGGGGCCTATTAGAACTGGGGCCTATCAGGACTGGGGCCTATTAGAACTGGGGCCTATTAGGACTGGGGCCCTATTGTTGGGCCTATTAGAACTGGGGCCTAATGGGAACTGGGGCCTGTAGAACTGGGGCCTATTAGGACTGGGGCCTATTAGAACTGGGGCCTATTAGAACTGGGCCCTGTAGAACTGGGGCCTATTAGAACTGGGGCCTGTTGGAACTGGGGCCCTATTAGGACTGGGGCCCTGTGGGGCTGGGGCCCTATTAGACTGGGGCCCTATTGGGACTGGGGCCTATTAGAACTGGGAGCCTATGTAGAACTGGGGCCCTGTGGCCAGAACTGGGGCCCTATTAGACTGGGGCCCTGTTGGGACTTACAGGGCCTGTAGAACTGGGGCCTATTAGAACTGGGCTAGCTTGGAACTGGGGCCTGTGGGACTGGGGCCTGTGGGAGCTGGGGCCTATTGGGGAACTGGGGCCCTGTGGGGCGGGGCCTATTGAACTGGGGCCTGTGGGACTGGGGCCTGTAGGACTGGGGCCTGGCCAGGACTGGGGCTGTAGAACTGGGGCCTATTAGAACTGGGGCCTATTAGGCTGGGGCCTTTCAGCCAGAACTGGGGCCCTGTGGGAGCACGGGGCCTATTAGAACTGGGGCCTATTAGAACTGGGGCCTATTGGGAGACTGGGGCCCTTTAGGGCTGGGGGCCCTATTGAACTGGGGCCCTATGGGGAACTGGGGCCCTGATTAGAACTGGGGCCTATGTGAGAACTGGGGCCTATTAGAGGCTGGGGCCTTTAGAACTGGGCCTGTGGGGCAGGGGCCTCTGTGGGGAACTGGGGCCTATTGGGGAACTGGGCCCTGTGGGGCTGGGGCCTATTAGGCCTGGGGCCCTATGGGAACTGGGGCCTTCAAGACTGCGGGGCTCAGGGGCCTGTGGAGACTGGGGCCTGTGGGGGCTGGGCCCTGTTAGAACTGGGGCCCTGTGGGGCACAGGGCCCTGTGAAACTGGGGCCTGTGGGGAACTGGGGCCTGTGGGAGCTGGGGCCTGCTAGAACTGGGGCCTGTGAGAACTGGGGCCTGTGAGAACTGGGGCCCCTGCCCAGAACTGGGGCCCTGTAGAACTGGGGCCTATTAGAACTGGGGCCTATTAGAACTGGGGCCTATGGGGAACTGGGGCCTGTGGGGCGCTGGGGCCTAATAGAACTGGGGCCTATTAGAACTGGGGCCCCTATTGAGAACTGGGGGCCCTATTAGAACTGGGGCCTATTAGAACTGGGGCCTATTAGAACTGGGGCCTATTAGGAGCACAGGGACCTATTAGAACTGGGGCCTGTGCAGAACTGGGGCCTGTGGGACTGGGGCCCTGTGGGGCACAGGGCCTGTTAGAACTGGGGCCTGTGGGACTGGGGCCCCTCTGTAGAACTGGGGCCTATTAGAACTGGGGCCTGTGGGGCTGGGGCCTGTGGGACTGGGGCCTGTTGAGAACTGGGGCCTGTGGAACTGGGGCCCTATTAGAACTGGGGCCTATGAGAACTGGGGCTGTGGGGCACAGGGCGCCTATTGGGAACTGGGGCTGTGGGACTGGGGCCTATTAGAACTGGAATTTCTGTAGAACTGGGGCCTATTAGAACTGGGGCCTATTAGAACTGGGGCCTGTGGAGACTGGGGCCCCTGTGGGGCAGGGGCCTATGGGGCCTGGGGCCTATTAGGACTGGGGCCTCCAGGGAACTGGGGCCTGTAGAACTGGGGCCCTGTGGGACTGGGGCCTGTGGGAACTGGGGCCTATTAGAACTGGGGCCCTATGTGGGGCTTCAGGGCCTTAGAACTGGGCCCTCTGGGAACTGGGGCCTGTAGAACTGGGGCCTATTAGAACTGGGCCTATTAGAACTGGGGCCTAATTGACGTGGAATTTAATTGCTTGAACATGAGAGAGGTGTGTATTGATAGATTCACATGGACACGCCGCCTCCTCCTCCTCCCTCCTCCCTCCTCCCTCTACCTGATGGAGGCAATAAAAAGTCAAGCCTCATTACGCTCATTAGTGGGCATTTAAAACCATCAGTGACACCTCTCTCTCTCTCTCTCTCTCTCTCTCTCTCTCTCCCCCCCCCCTTTGTTTCATATCCTTGTTTATCTTTTATGATGAGAGAACAAAGTGAGAGAGAAAGAAAGAAGACAGAAACAAGAGACAAAGAGAGAGAAAAAGAGACAGAGAGGTTAACGGACAAGTGAGTTGGTTCATGGAGGTGGGTGGAGAACTTGCCCCGTGTCCTGTTGTTTACTTCCTCTCTCTCTCTCTCTCTTTCTTTCTTTCTTTCTTTCTTTCTTTCTTTCTTTCTTTCTTTCTTTCTTCTTTCTCTCTCTCTCTCTCGCTCTCCCTCTCTCTCTCTCTCTCTCTCTCTCTCTCTCTCTCTCTCTCTCTCTCTCTCTCTCTCTCTCTCTCTCTCTCTCTCTCTCTCTCATTCATTCATTCATTCTTTTAATTGTTGTTGTTGTTATTGTTGTCCGTGACTTAAGTGGGCCAGTTAATGTGTCCCAGCAAGTGGGCCAATTAATGTTTCGTTTAGTTCTCACGTATCCAATTAAAGGTCTGGGGCGTGTGAGCATAAGAGCATAAGAATGGAAGGAAACAGCAGCGGGTCTATACTGGGTCAGTCCGTTTACACCCAACCCCTATCACTCATATATATCCAACCAACCAACCAATGTTTACCTATCGCGCCTAAATCTAAATATGTCTAATTTAAAACCATCGTTACAAGTTCGCTCAGGCACATGCATTCGCTCTTAGTTGGATAGTTTGAGTACCTTCTTAATATCCTTTGTTTAGCCCTGACTTCCATTTATACACACCTCTATCATGTCGCCCCTCCTCTACGTCTCTCAGGGAGTGGAAATTAGATGCTTTAACCTGTCTCTATACTCAAGGTTCCTAATGCGGGATTAGTCTTGTCATTCTCCTCTGAATTCTTTCCAATGATTCTATATCCATTCTGTAATGCGGTGACCAGAACTGAACTGCGTAATCAAGTGAGGTCTAAACAAGAGCAGGATACTGTTTTAGATGACCTCGCTAGTCTTGTAACTAACACTCCTTTGTATGAACCCAAGTACTTTATTAGCCTTGTTTCGATACATTGTTGACTTGGCTTAAGATTCCTACTTATCATTGCTCCTAAATCTTTCTCACGATCGGATTTCTCTATAACATCGTTGTTCATCTGGTATCTGGTTACTGTTTACATCTCTATACAGAGTACTTTACATTTGTCCACATTGGTTGAGATCTGGGGCGTGTGAGCGTGTGGCACATTAATTACCTGGGGAGACATATGCCTGGTCTCTCTCTCTCTCTCTCTCGCCAGGAAGGTCGAGTATAGTGTGGTGGTGAAGAAATGAAGGAAGGAAGGAAGGAAAGGGAGGAGGCCTTTCACCCGATGTGTTGAGGGGAGGGAGGGAGGCCATGACAGAGGGTAGTCGTGGAAACCGGCCCAAGGTTCGTTCATGTTATACCTCACAGACACGAAGCTGGCCCCAGTTTTTACCTTCTGACGCACACCTGTTATGATTATCTCATAAACACCTGTTCCTTTGGTCACAGGTGTCAGTGAAAAATTACCTGTGCATGGGTTGTACATCTGTGTTTGTGTCTACACCTGTCAGCCGCTAATTGAGGTGTTCTTTGGGCTACACCTGTTAGTAATTAGCTCTTAAACACCTGCTGATGTTTTGTTAATGGTGGACACATATATACACACCTCACAATACACACACACCTGCCTCATAATTCACACACCTGCCTCTAATTCACACACTGACACATGCATACATAATACACACACCTCAGACACACCTCACACACACACACACACACACACACACACACAAAACACACACACACACACACACACACAACCACACAAAACACACACACACACACACACACACACACAAAACACTCACACACACACACAAAACACACAAAACACACACACAACACACACACACACACACACACACACACACACACACACACACACACACACACACACACACACACGCAGGATGACTGGCCATGTTTGGGAGATAACGTCACATAGTGCCTTCATCTCGATCACATAAACATGATGAGGTAACGTATTGTAGTGATGATAATAATAATAATAATAATTAACGGTTTATTGAAAGAGCTTGGCAGCCAGAAGGCTGAAAATATACATTTACATATTTGGGGAATGGGTTACGAATTACAAATAATATACAAGTAACATAAGTGACACAAATAAGACATATAATAACTAGATGGAAAAAGCTCAAACTACAGTTCATTTCAACATAGTGACAGTGCAAGGAGTAGTGTTTACTGGGAGTAGATACACTGGTTTAATACAAGTTATTGATAATTTTTACAATGGTTGGGACTGGGCTGTTCTTATAGCGATCAGTTCGTGCACGTATGGGCTGGATGCGGTTATGGTGTCGAACAGCAGTTCTCGGGCGAGGATCTCAGGTGGTAGTAGGAGCCGGTGTCGAGGATGGTGTAAAGCTTCTTCCAAATTTGCAGATGAGGTCGTGGTGATGGTCAGTGAGAGTCAGGGTCAGTGTGTTGAAGCGCTTCTTTGATATGTGGAGTAGGAAGGAGAATAATCTTACATGCCCTCTTTGCACTTTTTCTAGGTGTTTACGTTGTGTGGCATTTAGAGAGGAAGACCAGGTGGGGAGGCATAGGTGAGCTTGGGAAGTATGAATGTTGTGTATACACTGAGGAGCTCATGTGCAGGAACTCCAGGGACTTGAGTCGGCAGGTGGTGGAGACGGAAACTGGAGGATTTGACAACTTCACTGACGTGTGGTTTCCAATTTAGTTTGTTGTCTATGGTGACATGAGCTTCGTGGAATCTACAACCTGGGTGTATTCGGACCTAGAGTAATGGAAGGAGGTGGGACAATGTCGGAGGAGAGGTTGATGTGCATAACCATGGTCTTGGTATGGTTGATGGTGACGTGGTTGTTGGTGGCCCAGTTTTGGAGACTTTTCAATAAATCCTGAAGGGCGGTATAGTTGGGGCAGAGTTGTTGACGCCGATCCAATGGTGGAAGTCGTCGACATATTTCCAGCAAGCAGGGGTTTGTCTTAGGGCATCATTGATGGGCATAAGGAAGCAGAGTGGTCCCATCTTGGTGCCTGGGGACACTACAGGTGAGTGACTGAAGGTGGAGACAGCCCATCGGAGCGTACAGCTTGGCGTCGGTCACTGAGGAAGTCTGTAGCCATGGTATAAGACTTCTCCAGGCGGTCAATAGCTTTGTTGATGATTATATTGTGGTCGACTAGGTCGAATGCTTTAGTGAAATCAATGTGTGTGTGTGTGTGTGTGTGTGTGTGTGTGTGTGTGTGTGTGTGTGTGTGTGTGTGTGTGCATGTGTCAGTGTGTGTTATTGTGTGGGTGTGTGTGTGTGTGTGTGTGTGTGTGTGTGTGTGTGTGTGTGTGTGTGTGTGTGTGTGTGTGTGTATGCATGTGTCTGTGTTTGTGTGTGTGTGTGTATGTGCATGTGTCAGTGTGTGTGTTGTGGGGTGTGTGTGTGTGTGTGTGAGTGTGTGTGTGTGTGTGTTCCTTTAGTTGTTGAATTATTTGTTGCTGTTATTGTTTGTTTGTTGTTGTTGATAAGCTACAATAACGACCCTAATAACCTTAACTGAACGAGTCGTAATGGGGGTTGATGACGGAAGAGCAGGTACACACAGGTGCTCTGCGACCTCCTAAATGTTACACACACACACAAAACACACACACACCTCTCACACACACACACACACACAGGTTACAGATGCACAAATATCTATCCATCCCTACAGGTGTTTGGTGTAGTTATTTATAATTAGAAATAACATCAGGTGACAGGTGTTCGCAGGTTGACAACAGATGCCCATTTTGTATTGCGTCACTACAGGTGTTTAACATTAGCAGCAACGGTGTACTTGTTTTATCCCGTTATTACAGATGTTTAGTGATAACAGGAGAGTATGTTGGCAGCGTCACTACAGGTGTCTTAAGTTCCGACAGGTGTGCTTATTATCAACGTATGTGACAGGTGGAGGGCCGTAACAGGTGTGGGAGGCCGTACAATAAGTATAGGGAAGCCGTAACAGGTGTAGGGAAGCCGTAACAGGTGTGGAGGGGATCTCTAACAGGTGTGGGGGCCGTAACAGGTGTGGAGGCCGTATAGCAGGTCTGGGAGGCTCTATGACAGGTGTAGGAGGCCGCAACAGGTGTGTGAGGCCATAACAGGTGTAGGGGAGCCATAATAGGTGTGAGGATCTATAACAGGTGTGGAGGACCGCATAACAGATGTGGGATGCTCTTATAACAGATGTGGGAAGACACTGGACCTATAAAGTTTGTACACCTGCATCACATTATACTGTTCCTGCGTACCTGTCCACTTCCGTTCTAGGGGCCCCAGTCTCTCCCTCTCTCTCTCTCTCTCTCTCTCTCTCTCTCTCTCTCTCTCTCTTCACCTCCATTTTTCTTCTTTTCTTCTCTTCTTTAATCCTCCTCCTCCTCCTCCTCCTCCTCCTCCTCTCCCTCCTCCTCCTCTCCTCCTCCTCCTCCCTACTCCTCCTCCTCCTCCTCCTCCTCCTCCTCCTCCTCCTCTCCTCTCCTCCTCCTCCTCCTCCTCCTCCTCCTATTACCTGGGCGCACCTGTAGTGTTGAGAGAGAAGAGAGAGAGAGAGGTCCACATACCCACATCCAGGTCAAGCTTGGAAGAAAGGTGCAGGAGGAGACCCTGACCATCTCTCTCTCCTCTCTCTCTCTCTCTCTCTCTCTCTCTCTCTCTCTCTCTCTCTCTCT